CCTATCATCTATCGTCGGTATCTCCCCTCTTTCTTTTTTGTGTTTGTTACTCTCTCTTGTAACACCTCTGATCTTCAGCACTTTTATGACTTTATTGTGTTGCAAGTGTCCATAAAACTCTCACTAAAACAAAAAGAAACTGTTTTTGTGTCCATAGTGGATGTGTCTTCAACAGACAGTGCGTGGTTGGCGGGTGCTCTGGTGTGGTTTGCTCCTTCTTTCCTATCAAACATCTATCTTCCTTATCTCCCCTTCTTCTTTTTTATAAATGTTTGTTACTCTCTTGTAACACCTCTAATCTTCTGGCCCTCATATGACCTGAGCGCCGTAAAACCTCTTCTAAAACTAGAAGACAGTTTTTTTTACTATAGAAATCTTTTACTGATGGTTCTTTTGCTCCTAGGGTTCCTTTTGTTGTCCATTGTTTTAAATGATGAGTTGTAGCTAGATAACATCCTTGATATGTAGGCTATATAAAACCAATTAGAATTGGTGATTTCATTTACTTTTCTTCTATTGTTCAAAGTTTTGAATTATAAATTTGCAAGTGGATGACAGATATAGGGTTTTGAACATTAGTCATTTTTTAAAGCCTTTTTTACTATTACTGTAAATTCTCTTTATATTTTTTTCTTTTAGTTGTTATAATTATATTATTTTTTAGGTCATAACCACTATAATAGTATAGGCTATTAAATGAAAAATAATATATAATTGGAATCAATTTATTTGTATTTTAAATATTAATGATAAGTTGGTCTTGGTATTTTTTTTTACGTCTTTGCTGCTACAGGTGTCAACTTCAAATCGTTATGCTTTCTTTTTTATTCCATCTGGGGTTGTCTTCTTCTATTCTGTATTTCTGTTGGCCTTTTCTGGATCGATGCAATGTGGACAGTAGGGTGAAAATGGTGTAGATTAGCTGTAAAGTTGCTCTCAGCACTAGTTAAATAGTTATCGTTGTTGTGTTTTACTACTAAAAATATTTTTGTTTTTCTGATGTATTTTTTTCTTCTAAAAATTGGTTAGTCTTTTTGAACATCTTTTGATTTCTCTGAAAACTTTTTTGTTTCCTTTTCAAATTGCTTTGTTTTTCACGACATTGTTTTGTGTTAAAAAAACATTGTGTTGTGTTCTTAAAAAATTGTTATTTTTGTTCCTAAGAATTGTTTTTGTTTTCCTAAAAATTTCTTGTTTTCCTACAACCTTGGTATTTTTA